CCCACCACTTACCATCAGGTGGACTGTGTGCTCGTTTGTACAATAATTTACGTTACGTTAATAACAAGTTACGTTGTTATTAACGTAACTTGTTATTAACATAACGTAAATTATTAAATTATGACATTAATTAAAATAAAATATATATTAATTTATGTCATAATTATATCATATAATCGATTAAATTGATATATTATCTTAACATTAATCCACAAGAACTAAACTTTTTATTAACATGAAAATTTTGATAAAAGTATTACTTTTGTGCACAGTTACCAATTACTTTAGATGAAGTTGTATCTGATTTTTATTTTGTGAACTTAATTGCACACTGTACAAAACATGGACAAAATATATAAAAGAAGATATATTCAACGTGCTTAATCAATTTTAATAGACGGTTAACATTTTCATGACCCTGAAATAGACTTTAATGATCTTAAAAACACATGCAAATACAGCGTTATTATAATAACTCTAAAATGTCTTTTACATATTAAACCAGGTGCTGTTTAATCAAGAACAAATTATCCAATCAGAAACATAAATGTTATGTTTACCTCGACGTCATTTAATTAGACACGGCCTTAGCTCCTCATTACAGCACTGTCATAAACTGTTCCCAATACACCCGTATGCTCAGAGTGGATAACGATATAATTAATGTTGACTATGTAACTACTTGAAGTCACTACACCGCAGTGACAACATTCAGATGTAGCAAAAGTCATAAATCATTTCCAAATACCACAGATATACTAAAACTAATACCTGCTGTGAAGTTCATATTCGTACGAATAAATAACACCTTTCACACGCCGACCGAATCTCGAATCGGTATTATTTATTACAGGTTATAAACTCATGCACTGTTGCGCTACGGCCCACAAACTGACGTTATTCCAGGCTTGGTGGCATGCTCCATAAGTTTTGCTGAAATGTTAAAATGTCCTCAGCGTTTTGAATAAATTCTCAATTAATCATATTTTTTCATAATATTAAGCCTTGCCGTGTAATAGAGGCGAAAAATTAATCCATCTGCTCATTTGGTATATCATCTCGTAGATATCACAAAATGCGTTTATGTAAAGTTAGAAAGATCTTTTGGCCTCAGATAGATGTCAATATAAACATCTTTCAATATATTACTGTAAAGAAGCGTGCTAAAATCAAAAAAGTGATGTGGTAAATTTTAAAATAGGTACTTTTATTAATAAAAATTTAAGTTAAAACACTTAATTTTCGAAGGTAATCTTTTTTTTTGTGTTTTGTTTGAATTTATCATTCATTAAATTAACTAATTTTATTTTTAAGCTATTTTTGTAACTACTTAAATCCATTACAGCCTCAAAAAGTTCACAGCTGAAGATTGCCACATAATTGCCTTGCTGTATTTTGCACTCACAGTTCTTTTTTTATAATTTTGATTAATGTTGAGAAGATGCCGCTGCCCATAGCCGTTTCAGTTTCCCTTTGTCGCTTCTTACCCGTGGGTGTTCCACACGTCGATATGGGATAGGTGATATTCTTACACTGCCACTACACGTTTAATGCCTAAATGGCAACTAATTAAAGTAATTATAAAATGGCACGCCGCTACTATGAAATTATTTAAAATATAGATAAATGTACAAAACAGGAGATATGTGTCTTTTCTTTTGTAATAACTAATAATACTAATATCAGTCGTAACATTTGACGGCGCAGCATCAGTATATTACTGTTTTCTACGGAAAATAAATTTCATTGTTCGGCGACACCAATTTTGTTGAAAGCATGCTTCTGACATTTGATATAAGACTGAGGTCAGATTGATAGGTAATGTGTGCGTTAGTATATGCCTTCGGCTACCTAAATATAAGTAATGACATCTTAACTTTACGCAATGATAGGCTTACGAAAAATTTGTGATAGGAAAAATTAAGAGGGACTTTACGGTACGTCAAAAGAACATTCGTCCAAAAAAATTGTGCGTGTCAGCTCCGACGCGTGACTGGAGTTTACTAATGAAAACGATTGCCTTAACAATAGGCAAAGGAAATAAATGAACCTTTATATTTATTTATATTAATTTGATAATATATATTACATAAAATAGCGGCCGAGTTGCAAATGATGGTTACATTAATGAACATGTCATTAAAAGAAAGGGGAATGAAAGTGAACGCAATTAAGACGAAAGTGATGGTTTTTGAAAGAAAAAAGCAAAACGGTATGTGAAATAAGAATAGAAGGAGAGTTAATTGAGCAACTGGATGAGTTTGTGTATTTGGGATGTGTATTCAGCAGGGATGGGAGATATGATAAGGATATTGAACGACGAGTGAATGCAGGAAATAAAGTAAATGGGGCTCTACACTCTATTTTGAAAAGTCAGAATGTTTCAAAAAAGGCACGTATGGCAATTCACAATGCTTTATTAGTCCCTACTTTAACGTATGGTAGTGAAAGTTGGGTGTGGCAGAAGAAGCACGAGAGTAAAATAAATGCAGTAGAAATGCGATTGCTAAGGAGTATGTTAGGGCTGAGTGACAGGGTGAGAAACTGTGTGATAAGAGAAGAGTGTGGTTTGCAAGATGATGCGGTGACCAGGATTAAGAAAGGAATGCTTCTGTGGTTTGGTCATGTAGAAAGAATGAATGCGGAAAGACTGACAAAGCAAATATATGTTGCAGAAGTGAATGGAAGAGTCGGAAGGGACGTCCTAGGCGGAAGTTTGTCGACCAAATTGTCGATATACTAAAAATGGGCTAAATTAAGAGTACCCTTAACCGACGAGCATGTATGCGTAGGTATATGGATGTGGAAGAGGCGAGAGAGGTATGTCAGGATCGTGGTAAATGGAAGACTGTAGTCTCTGCCTACCCCTCTGGGTGACAGGCGTCAGTGTTTATGTATTATGTTTGTATAAAATATATGACTTATATTTTTATTACATTAAATTATTACATTATTTATTTCATGAATAGTAAGGTCATTATTAAATACAATACAGGCTTGTAGAAATTATAATATGATACATGAGCGTCAGAAGTTACATGAGTCATGAATCGTGAAACATCGCATCAGGTCATTGATAGGTACGAACCCTTTACGTTATTATCTGTTATTCATACCGTGCGCTATATATGAAAAGATTCTTAAGAGTAAACTCCAATAAACTCTAAAAATGTAAAATAAAATTAATTTATATATTTAATGATTTTTGCAGCTCAAAAATCGATCTTCGTATATAGCTAGCGAAGTTAAATGGAGATCAAAATCGAGTGTTACACACATATTCACGCATCTTTTACTGAAAGCGTGTAAAGATGATTGAATTTAGATGGCGACAATGGTCGAATTTATTCAATAGTTCAAAGTTGTTACCTTACAAATACTGATCCATGGTAGCTCAAATGGTTAGCGCTCGCTGTAAATTTCACAGTACGCGAGCAACCTGAGTTCAACCCTCGCCAGCACCAATGAAATTGTTATTTGCAATTTTAAGTGCTGATTTACTACGGGCTTCGCGATGAAGGAAAATATCATGAGGAAACCTGCATATTTGAGAAATAAGAATAAATTTTTTTCGAAGACGTGTGAAGTTCGCTAACACACATTGAGGCAGCGCGGCAGACACTTTTTGCCCTAAAACCCTCTCAAAAATGAGAGGAAGTCTATGCCCAGCAGTGGGACGTATATTGGTTGTAACTTTAACTTTTTAATATATAATACGAATGCAAGTTAGTTTCCAACGAATTGAACGATTTATTTTCTTCGACATATACCAATAACAACTCTTATCGAAAAAAAATATCATTGGTAATTTAAAAGTAAAATAACAAACAACACTAATTTTTCCTTATTTTTTATAAACGTTAACTGGCCACCGAACAGTAGAAAAATCTATTTAATACAATTAAAAAGTTGGTACAAAGATATTTATTTTTCTCAAATTTGGTGTATTTTGGACTTGGTAATAAAAGTCTTATTTCATTTCCACTGTCTCAATTTAGTGGAAGCGGGTCTTTATACAAAGAAATATTTTTATAAATTCAACAAAAACAATTAATGCGACGGCTCGGTCTGACAAATAGTTTATTATAACGTTTATTCATTCACGTCAAATAATATGAGGGATGTAGACGAATAGCAGCTACTAAATTATTCTTTTCAAATTAACGACTAGATCGTTTTTTGACTTAGTACTGACGGGAATATCCGTGTTTTACATGTTCTTCATAACTTATTTTATTGCTTCCTGATAGAGTTTTGTTTTTATAAGAAATTATTTAGTATAAAAATGATACGTGTCAAAGACTTAGAAATGAGTAAGTCCTCAGTAGAACTTACAGTAACTGCCATAGCTTAAAGGATTTCAAAGTTGCAATTTCAAAAAAAAATTAGGTGGTAGAGCTACGTTGTAGCTATGTTATGGTTGTAGCACGAATGGGTCGGCTCGACCGGGGTAAGACCACGTTCTCACAGAATACCAGCGTAAAATAGCAGCTTAGTGTTGTTTTGTATGGTGAGTGTTGAGAATCAGTCACCCTTTTTACTGGAAACGAGGCATTCTATTTTAGTATTTAGGGGTAACAACGCATCTGCATTTTTATTTTTCATTAAGGATACTTATAGATGTCTACAATAGGCCACAGCATCCACTTACCATCAAACGGACAGTGTGCTCTCTTGTCACCCTTATCCTATAAAAATATTTAAAATACTTCAAGGTCAAAATGTAGGGCGCAGAGCAAACACAATGTATTTCCATCCCGCCTGGTCAAGAGTGGAGCGATTTATCTATACAATATCAAGCGAACGCTCATTTATGATTTTTCAATAATAAAACTACCAGACATTATTGAATTAATCATTATTTCATTGTGTCTGTAGGTGAAATTATAACACTAAAAACTTTTGGTAGTCATAATTCAATAGGGTTTATTCGTGATATTAATGCTTTACATAATGTATATAAATCTCTATGTAAATATACATTTAAATATTTCAAGGAAATGAGGGTTTGTTTGAAAAGCATACTAATAAAACTGTTTACAGGTATTTGTTATAAATATATTCTTATGAAGATATTTATAATGAGTCATTATATTATATAAAGTAATAAAACGAGCTTAAGATAAAGACCTGATCAGAAATAACATAATAGTAGAATAGTATTTTTATTTTTAAATTATTATAAAGAATAAATATACCTCTAATAAGTTAAATTTCAGTGTGGTGGCGGTGTAAGCGAATACAAACCCGCATCGTCTCGTAGGTCTCGTGAAAGGCGACTGTGGGAAATACCAGAAATATATCATCGATAGATGGCGGTTAAAGTAAGTTAAAATACAGCCTATATACGCACCCACTGGCGGTACCACCCACACCTTTCATTATTTCAGAGGGGTTCTAAGGCAAGGAACTGTCGAAAACACTGTCTTTCCTCGAAATAGTATTCTTTTTAATATTGCTGATGATAAGATGCTGGTTTCCTCGCGATTTTTTGCCTTCACACTTGTAAATCGGCACTTAAAATTGCAATTATGAGTTTAGGGCAGGGATCGAACCCGGGTTGTTCGCGTATTATGAATTTGCAGCAAACGTTTAGCCCTTGAGCTATCATGAGTAGATGGCGATACAACAATATTATTAAGGTGTAGGAATAAAATAAAAATAAATCGCAATATATAATCGCAAATACTGCGATTCTCACTTCTCCCTAGAACATACCCATGTCCAGCTGTAGACTTTTGCATGATGATGATGATAAAGTAGAAGAATTATTATTCATTGTAGAAATAGCGGAAACGACAATGTATATAGTTTTATCAGAGAAAGTATAGTTCAATATAATATGTTATGTATGTAAAAATAATATAAGACTAAAACAACACGCATTTATCATGGAACTGTGAAATTCATTAAAGTTATTTTATTTTATTCTGGTGATTCTGATCAGGACATAAGGATAGAGTTATAAATTATCGTACTGTCGTCGTTCCTTGATACGAGTACAAGTTTTAAAATCAACCGGCTGTCTACAAGTTGGTAAAAATTACATTAAAAAATCCGTTAAATAGATAGATAGGTATGTAGGAGGGGTATGTGCGAAGAGTTTTCCGATATTGTATGTATTTTATACTTCAGTAAAGATTTTTTTTTAATTGAAGACTAAAAGAAGTGGCCACCAAAATAATATTTAAGGAAAGTATTCCATCCCATCCGGGGTTACCTTGTTTTATTAAAATGTTTTTAGACTTTTAAAACAAATGGAAAATTGATACAATGTTATTTCCTACAATGAATTAAAAATATATTTCTCTTTTACACCTTAATTATTTCAAAAACCAGACAGTGCAATAAAAAGCAACAATATTATATAATAGAGTGGACAGGGATATGTTATGGCAAACGCTGAACGCATGTAGGTTGAGCGCTGGTTTAATACAGGCATTAAAGTCTCCGTATAGGGACTCGAGTGCTTGTATTAGAATCAACGGGGTCTACTCGGACTGGTTTAGCATCCATAAAGGTGTCAGACAGGGCTGTGTAGCTTCCCCGTGGCTGTTCAACCTATTTATAGACAGCTGTTTGCAAAATTTGAAAGTTGAAGAATGCGGGTTAAGAATGGTGAGTTAACCATCAAATGCCTTTTGTACGCCGATGATCAAGTCATACTTGCGTCGTCGGCGGCCGAGCTGCAAATGATGGTTACATTAATGAACAGGTCATTAAAAGAAAGGGGAATGAAAGTGAACGCAAGTAAGACGAAAGTGATGGTTTTTGAAAGAGAAGAAAGCCAAACGGTATGTGAAATAAGAATAGAAGGAGAGTTAATATAGCAAGTGAATGAGTTTGTATATTTGGGATGTGTATTCAGCAGGGATGGGAGATATGATAAGGATATTGAACGACGAGTGAATGCAGGAAATAAAGTAAATGGGGCTCTACACTCTATTTTGAAAAGTCAGAATGTGTCAAAAAAGGCACGTATGCCAATTCACAATGCTGTATTAGTCCCTACTTTAACATATGGTAGTGAAAGTTGGGTGTGGCAGAAGAAGCACGAGAGTAGAATAAATGCAGTAGAAATGCGGTCGCTAAGGAGTATGTTAGGGCTGAATCTGAGTGACAGGGTGAGAAACTGTGTGATAAAAGAAGAGTGTGGTTTGCAAGATGATGTGGTGACCAGGATTAAGAAAGGAATGCTTCGGTGGTTTGGTCATGTAGAAAGAATGAATGCGGAAAGACTGACAAAGCAAATATATGTTGCAGAAGTGAATGGAAGAGTTGGAAGGGACGTCCTAGGCGGAAGTTTGTCGACCAAATTGTCGATATACTAAAAATGGACTAAATTAAGAGTACCCTTAACCGACGAGCATGTATGCGTAGGTATATGGATGTGGAAGAGGCGAGAGAGGTATGTCAGGATCGTGGTAAATGAAAGTCTGTAGTCTCTGCCTACCCCTCTGGGTGACAGGCGTGAGTGTTTATGTATGTATTATATAATACACTATCTTGGTTATCAGAGGTAACAACGCATCTCTAGTGGACTGTAAGATCGTTTCTTACTTCGGTTTCATAGGAAATGTTCAGTAGAGATCAGATTTAAAAAGCAACTTCAATATTTGTATATCTAAATCCCTTTCAGTATGCTATTTGCAAACAAAATATTTTGGATCTTCACGGGTCCAAGATTTTTAATAAAACCACAACTACAAATCAAATGTATTTTTATTACTTATCAAATTAGTATGAAAATTACAATAAATTTCATTTCTTTGTTTCAGAATTGATTGCAATCAAAATAGTGAAAATAGTAGTGCCAGAAATAATACAGTACGGTATGCAAGACGCTGTGATTCTAGACTGTGACTATACTTACGGTAACAACACATCGGGACTGGTAGTGAAGTGGTTTTTCAGAAACAAGGCTAGACCTGTCTACCAATGGATCGTGTCGCAAAAGCCACAGTACATGGGGATATTGAGAGGACGAGTTGACTTAGCCTACAGAGTATCAAAAGATCCATTAAAAATGTACAGAGCACTTCGAATAGTTAAGCCCAATACTGACATATCTGGTGATTACACGTGTGTCGTTTCAACATTTATGGAAGAGGATTCAAGAACTAAGCAAATGATTGTTTTTGGTAAGTTAATTTGTTAAACTCGTTAAAATATGTCAAATATTTTGAATAAAACCACACTGATGATATAGTTATTAGCCTTAAAAATTAAACTTTTCCAAAAACTGTCAAAGCTATTCAACTTTTTAACACTACAGGTCATATTATAGCGTCGTGTAAAAAGTTTTCTTGTTGAAGTTACATTTGTAGGAGTAACGCGCGTGTTTGCACTGTTTATCAAATTATGTTTCTATTAAATGACTTGATTTAATGCATAACGTAAATGAGATTTAAAGTTAAAATATTAAACGCTATTAAACAATAAAGTAATAGGTATTAGTACTTCTTGTATTTTTACCGCAGGATTATGCACTATGTTCTCGTTAGAACGGTAAGGGAGGTGGTATAATTACAGGCTCTGAGAAATCTTAATTTGCAGAGAGAATAACGCAAGATGCAAGAATTGCAGGTTATCATGGGTCACAATAACAAACAAGGGATTAGGTGTAGGTTTCTTAATTTTGCCCCCTTTTTCATGAGTAAATGTCTCGTGGTGTTTGTTAATGATGGGACCAAACTATAAACAAAACAAATATTAGATCTCCATCTGAGCAAAGAATATTTCCACCCTCCACTTCCGAATCTACTACGAAAAGGCCGTGGAAATTGACAACATTGATAATAATTGGGTGATAATTTCAGAAACAATTATTTTATACAAAAATTACTTCAGTGAAAAATCACACATCACATTAAGAGCGTTTTCAACATTTGGATGTGTTTCACGCAATGAAGGGATTAGCACTTCCTCGTATGTCAGTCGAAAAGATGTATCTTACATATTCTCTGCTTAACCGTAACTATAGAATACTATAATACATACATAATAGAACGGGGAGTGGGCAGAGCCCGTGTAGCCACTAACATATCACTAACGTGTCAATTCACGCGTATAAATGTCAACACAATCAATCGTTTCCAATTTTCGTTGTCAAGCGTCGCGGCATGCAAATTATTAAAAAAGTGGCAAATTGTGTAATAATTACGTGTCGAAAGAACAGCGGGAAATCGAATTTTAATAAAGGAGACATTCTACAATCAGTAAGTCAAAACTATTTATATTTTAAGAATATTAGAAACAAAAATAACGAAATATTTATGTGTCAAAAACATTAATCAAAAGTTTAAAATATGTTTGTAGTAGTGATAACTGATAATAGGACGTGATTGCTTGTATGTCTGCTCCCGGCGACACTAATCCTCCTACAAAATAGGGTTGACAGCCATTCTATTGTGTATTATAGTATTCTATGACCGCAACGATAATAGATTTCACATATACGTTTGTTTTTTTTTTAAATAAGTAACGCTTATCTTGTGGTAGAAGCGAAACATAATTAATATAATATCCTGTCTTTCTTCTTGAATTAAAAACTATACAAAATATCATATATGTTAACTAAGAGACATAACAAAAAAATGTCGTGTATTTTTTTAATTCCTTTTTTTAATTAGTTTAGGGACTTACGTTATTTTTAACATGTCAGTCCCATTGTAACTTACTAAATAACACACTACAATTTCTTAAATTATTTACACAAAATATTAACTAAATTATACACCATTTGAGCAGCATTAGATAATCGTGGACTTATTAAATGCTAAATCCGTGTGTATTTATGGCACGACATACTAGAACTATAATCGCCATCACTTACGTCCAATACCGTCGTGTTACACTACACACTAAGAGACGGTGATAATGACTATGATGATTATAACACACACGCACACACACAAATATCATCCTCATAAGATATTCCAAAGTCATTTTAAAATACAAAGAATTTGTCGAGAAGTACTTTTATACAAATAATAAGCTTATAGTTTAGGAAAACAGAAATTTTCAGATAACATGAGATAAGCTTTATAAGAATGGAAACAATTGTTTTGGCCAACAGGGCTATAATTTATTTCAAATATATTTTGTTATATTTGTTATAATTAAAAAAAACTAGAAAATTTAAATGTACAAATTTTATGAAAAAAAACTTTGACGTCACGAATTTGATTCATCATATTTTATTGTATTGCAGTGTTATAGAAGGAAATATTTCCATCTAACCATGAAGGCGGTAGAATTTTAAATTGTTTCATTCTTGCCCAGATTCTAATAAAGTAAAATATTGCAATTCTTTCGAGAGTTTCTAATTAAAAGATTCAATTCAATGAAATTGAATATGGATTGAAATAAATAAGTAGAAGTGTCAGTGGTTCAGGGACAGGCTTTGTGGTCTTCCCTTTGGGAGGTCTATGTTCAGCAGTGAAGATGTAATGGCCTGCGAGGACGACAGTGAAATATTCGTTAGTTATTATTTTTCGCCTTCATAATTAACTTTTGTGTATGTTGGACTACTTACTACTAAAAATTACTACTATACTATACTACTAAAAGACTACTTAAAAATTATTACCTTTATATATATATATATATATATATATATATATATATATATATATATATATATATATATATACCTTTATTCTAAAAAAATATATATTTATGTAATCGAAGTATTAACCCTGAATACCTTTTTTTAAATTTATTTATCATTTCAAAATCGAATACAAAACCGTAAGTAAAAAATAACATCTATAAAACACAAGGGTTGTAAATAATTCTATCATCTACATCCATATTGAAAATATTTGATTGAAAAAATAGAATATACGTAATATTACGTTGTTTTAAAATAGTTTAAAAATCGGGCTTAATTTATAATTTGATACCTTAGTGAAGAAAAAGTTAAAAAGTGTAAGGATTCCAAAACTGATCTTTAAAGTTCGTCTATGATATGTTTTCCCCTAACATTTTAATATCAGACACGCTTATATTGTTTAGCCCTGGGGTCTTATTTACTTTTAATTTTATTTATTTTTCAAACCCAAGCTTTTTGAAAATATAAAATTGAGTCGATATTTATGTTGTATGTATAAGAGTCCAGTTTTTTATACTACGCATAGGAATTATGTCGTTTGCTGCCCTGTCAAAACTGGTTGCAAACCAATCAGCAATGGTTTTAGTGGTAAGTTTTTGTTCATAAAACGCCTTCAGAATCATTGCATCGATCGATCATTTTACTTGTCCTGGCATTTAATTAATAATATTATACACTTTTTTAGTATTCTTTTTATATAATAATTAGTACGAGATCTTTTAAACTTATAAAATTTTGTATACTTTATTACGGATTTTATTATACTGTTACCATAATTTAGGATCATTGTTATTTGTTTTTCAAAGCAAAATAGTTTATCACATTTGTTACACAGGCGATTTGTGTTATTTGTTTTTTTATAATCATAAAGATTTCCAAGAACTGGCAATCTTTTGGGCGTTTTGGAATGAATTACAGAAATCAAAAATGTCATTTGGGGATTTCATATCTTTTGTCCATAACCAATTTATTTTTTTGAATTTTTATTTCAGTATATCAATTATTTGTTTTGTAACAGTCTGTATATTATGCTACGGAACTGTTTCATCACTGCAGGTAAAAATAATGCCATGGGGATCTGCTACTATGATTTCTAATTAGTAAATTAATAGTATTATTTCCCAATCTAATTACATCGTTCAAAATGAAAATTACATGAGCTTTAACTTAAAATGCTCTTATAATAAGAAAATATTTTTGAGTATAAAGTAGAAACTAGTAAGTTAGTTTAGAAGTTCCTTAAATGAGAATTGATATTTTTGTCAATTTTACAAGTTTTTTCATAAAAACGTCTGCTCTTCGCCAGGCATCTCCTTTTACCCTTAAGACATTCGTAAGGCTTTCCGGGGAAATGAAGCAGGCCGGCTTATCTTTACGGATGATGTGTACAATCAAGATTGTTTTTAATAAACGTGCCGAATACGTTTTCTATCTAGGGAATAAAGAAAAACGTAAGCCTAAATGTAATATTTATTATCTTTACAAAGTGTATTATAGGCTCTACGACAATTAATATTAGTGTTATATGGCCGATATTGGTAAAACGTTTGCAGTGTTATTTAGCAAAATTATCGCTTTTGAGTTATATATAAAATACTATTCTATTTATTCACCCAAATTTCAGCTGGTTACGAAAAGTTCGATCATCAAAAATCGATCGCATTGAAAATTTTCTCATTTTATTATAAGTTAAAATTTTTAATTTAAAACTAACATAGTAATTATTTCTTACAAAAAATTTAAACATAAAAGTAGAGAAATTAAACACATCTTTTCGTTACGTTAATTAAAGTAATTATACATGAACGATATGTCTCTATTTAACGTTTTGATAAAATGCAATCATTTTACGTGGCCATTTAATTATTGTAACGTAACTCAATAACAAATAACAGCTATTAGCTCAGTACCAGGACGCCGCATTTTTTATAGCATAGACTGACTTTTTATAACATAAGTTTGACAAAAAAGCACTCAGTCCACCTGATGGTAAGTGTATGTTGTGGCCCTTGACATCTACATTTTATGTCCTCGATTAAGAATCAAAATGCAGAATATGTTATCACCCCAGAAGACTAAGATGGAATGTCTTGTTTCGAGTAAAAAGAGTATCCGGTTCTCTACACTCACCATAAACCATAGAAGCATTAAACTGTTACTTCATGTTGGTATTATGTGAGAGCGAGGTATTACCCCAGTTGATAGAACACATTCGTGCTGATATCATAATTTAACTGCAGCACGGTTCTACCACGTATATTTGAACTTTGATCTTGTTTTTCTTAGTATTACTATTGACGTGAAGCTTCAACGGGGCGCCCATATATCTAAATTAGCAGGTAGACTTAAAGACTAGAAGTCTTACCAATGTTGGGATAGCTAGATTAGTTTATTTTGGTTACTTTCATAGCGTAATGTCTTATGGAATTTTGCTATGCGTAACGCAACTGAAATTGAAGCCATAATTGTACGAGCGATTTATAACTCAAAATGTAAAAAGTCCCGGAGAGAAATTAATATACTGCG